TCAGAGACAGAGAGACAGAGAGACAGAGACAGAGGTAGACTGAGAGAGACCTGACCCGGCGGTGGGCTCAGGCTGTGCACTCTCGCTGGCCGGTGACCCGGTTCCCTCCCGCTGACCCCTCCGCGCCGGTTGTTGGGCGCCATCTGGCGGCCGCTTTTACAGAGTGGCCCTCCTCCGGAGCCCCGGCGACATGAGCAAGGGATGGGACTTGCAGGACATCTGTGTGGTTTCCAGTGTGGGTCTGTGTGGAACAGAGCTGCTAAGAACATTCATGCCCCGGATTCTGTGTGAATGAACAGGAACGTGGCCGCAGCCCCCACCCCGCCCCCCGCCCCAGCCCCCGGGAGTGGCGGGAGTGGTGCCCTCCAGACCACCCTCGGGTTGGATGCCTCCCTCCCTGGAAGGACTCACGGGACTCCACAAAAGCTGACTTCCTGGAGGTCCAGCGGAGACCCCCAAGGCCCAAGGCCCCCCCCCACCACCACCACAGATCACTGTGGAAGCCTTAACGACCCAAGGCTCCAGCTACATACAGACGCTCTTAGGAGGCAAGATACACCAAGGGCTTATGTAGGTTGCCACTTTCGGTGGTTGTTTCCGCGGCGTGTGAGTTTTGGAACCCGCCACGCCATTTTTCACAGAGGCCATACCGTTTCCCTTCACCACCAGTGAGGCGTGAGTGACTGACTTGGCTTCTCCGCGACCTCACTAGCAGTTTGATCCTGTTCCTGTATTTGGAAGAAGCCAGTCTCACCCATGTGTCCCCACAATGTCTCCCTCTAATTTTCTCACTTGCTTTTCCAGGGAACAGCTCACATCTTTTCATGCGCTTATTGGTCATCCATGCGTACCTCCTCCTCCCCAGGTGAAAGTGCCTGCTCTGTCTATTGGCCTTCCATTGTATTTGTATTTTTCAGTGTTGATTTCCCCCGGGTCTCCACTCCATTGTGGGGTTTTTTTTTGTTGTTGTTGTTTTTTTTTCTGCTTAAAGATTGCCACCTGAGCTAAGCCTCTGTTTCCCATCTTTGTCAGTTTCAGAGGGGAGATTTCTCAGTCTTGCTCTTTCCCAAGTTCTGCACGCCCTTGTGTGTGTGTGTGTGTTTTTTTTTTTTTTTTTTGCTCAAATATTGAACCTAAGCTAGCATCTGTTGCCCATCTTCGTCAGTTTGAGAGGGTAGGTTTCTCAGTGTTGCTTTTTCCCCAGGTCTCCAAGTCCCTCAGTGTGTGTGTGTGTGAGTGTGTGTGTTTTCTTTGCAAGATTGGCACTTGAGCTAACGTGTGTTGCCAATCTTTGTCAGTTTCAGAGGCTAGATTTTTCAGTATCGCTCTTTCCCAAGGTCTCCACTCCCTTGCTCTTTTCTTTTCTTTTTTTTTTTTTTTTTTGGCTTAAAGATGTCACTGAGCTAGGCTCTGTTGCCGTGCTTCCTCCGTTTCAGCGGGTACCTTTTTTCAGGGTTGCTTTTTCACCGGGTCTCCTCGCCATTGTATTTTTATATTTTTTATTTTTTTTGCTTAATGATTGCCACCTGAGCTAGCCTCTGTTGCCCATCTTCTTCAGTTTCAGATGGTAGATTTCTCAGTGTTGCTTTTTCCCCAGGTCTCCACGCCCTTGTGTGTTTCTTTTGCTTAACGATTGCCACCTGAGCTAGCCTCTGTGGCCCATCTTTGTCAGTTTCAGAGGGTAGATTTCTCAGTCTTGCTCTTTCCCAAGTTCTGCACGCCCTTGTGTGTGGGTTTTTTTTTTTTTTTTTTTTGCTCAAATATTGAACCTAAGCTAGCATCTGTTGCCCTTCTTCGTCAGTTTCAGAGGGTGGATTTCTCCGTGTTGCTTTTTCCCCAGGTCTCCACGCCCTTGTGTGTTTCTTTTGCTTAACGATTGCCACCTGAGCTAGCCTCTGTGGCCCATTTTCGTCAGCTTCAGAGGGTGGATTTCTCAGTGTTGCTTTTTCCCCAGGTCTCCAAGTCCCTCAGTGTGTGTGTGTGTGAGTGTGTGTGTTTTCTTTGCAAGATTGGCACTTGAGCTAACGTGTGTTGCCAGTCTTTGTCAGTCAGAGGCTAGATTTTTCAGTATCGCTCTTTCCCAAGGTCTCCACTCCCTTGAACTCTTTTCTTTCTTTCTTCCTTTCTTTCTTTCTTTCTTTCTTTTTGGCTTAAATATTGTCACCTGAGCTAGGCTCTGTTGCCCTGCTTCCTCCGTTTCAGCGGGTACCTTTTTTCAGGGTTGCTTTTTCACCGGGTCTCCTCGCCATTGTAGTTTTTTATTTTATTTTATTATTTTGCTTAATGATTGCCACCTGAGGTAGCCTCTGTCCCATTTTCGTCAGCTTCAGAGGGTGGATTTCTCAGTGTTGCTTTTTCCCCAGGTCTCCACGCCCTTGTGTGTTTCTTTTGCTTAAAGATTGCCACCTGAGCTAGCCTCTGTTGCGCTTCTTTCTCAGTTTCAGAGGGTAGATTTCTCAGTGTTGCTTTTTCGCCAGCTCTCCACGCCCTGGTGTCTTTCTTTTCTGCTTAAAGGTTCCAACCTGAGCTAGCGTCTGTTGCCCATGTTCCTCAGTTTCAGAGGGTGGATTTCTCCGTGCTGCTTTTTACCCGGGTCTCCACGCCCTTGTGTGTTTCTTTTGCTTAACGATTGCCACCTGAGCTAGCCTCTGTTGCGCTTCTTTCTCAGTTTCTGAGGGTGGATTTCTCAGTGTTGCTTTTTCCCCAGGTCTCCACGCCCTTGTGTGTTTCTTTTGCTTAACGATTGCCGCCTGAGCTAGCCTCTGTGGCCCATTTTCGTCAGCTTCAGAGGGTGGATTTCTCAGTGTTGCTTTTTCCCCAGGTCTCCACGTCCCTCAGTGTGTGTGTGTGTGTGTGAGTGTGTGTGTTTTCTTTGCAAGATTGGCACTTGAGCTAACGTGTGTTGCCCATCTTTGTCAGTTTCAGAGGCTAGATTTTTCAGTATCGCTCTTTCCCAAGGTCTCCACTCCCTTGCTCTTTTCTTTGTTTCTTTGTTTCTTTCTTTCTTTCTTTTTGGCTTAAATATTGTCACCTGAGCTAGGCTCTGTTGCCCTGCTTCCTCCGTTTCAGAGGGTACCTTTTTTCAGGGTTGCTTTTTCACCGGGTCTCCTCGCCATTGTAGTTTTTTATTTTATTTATTTATTTTTTTGCTTAACGATTGCCACCTGAGCTAGCCTGTGTTGCCGATGCTCTTCAGAATCAGAGGGTAGATTTCTCAGCGTTGCTTTTTCCCCAGGTCTCTACGCGCTTGTGTGTGTGTGTGTGTGTGTGTGTGTGTGTTCTGCTTAAAGATTGCCACCCGAGCTAGCCCCTGTTGCCCATCTTCGTCAGTTTCAGAGGGTAGATTTCTCAGTGTTGATTTTCCCCCAGTTCTCCACGCCCTCGTGCTTTTTTTTTTTTTTTTTTAATTTCCTTAAATGTCGGGCACCTCAGCTAGCCTCTTTTTCCCATCTTCGTCCGTTTCAGCGGGTAGACTCTCCGACTGCCTTCGAGAGACCCTCTGCGCTTGAAAGCTTTCCTCCTCCCGTCATCACGGTCCTTTCTCGGATGACGTGCCTGGTTTCGGTTTGACCGTCCCCGTCGCCCTGATTTTCTAAGTCCTCCCGGGAGCCCCGGGGGCGCTCCGGCCGCTCCGGGAAGTGGCTTCCTCCCGGCCATCCTGCTCAGCCCGGCCCGGGCCGACCCCTGGCCTCTCTGGGGGAACTCTCCCCGTCCCCTTCCCGGTGAGCGCCCGAGAAACCTTTTCCCGGTCCCCCTCCTGCGGCTGGGGCTGCGCCTTGGCGGACGCGAGCCCGCGGGCGGACGCCCCGGGGCCGAGCTGGGCCGGGAGGCTGGGTCCGAGGGGGCGCCGGGACGGGATCTGGCGGCCCGGCGGCCCGGCTGTGCTCCCCGGCGGGCCCGCGCTCCGGCTCCGTCCCGCTGAGGCGGTCGCCGGTCGCCGGGTGCCACCTGGCGGCCGCTTTTATATCGTCTCTTTCCTCCGGAGCTCCGGCGACGCGGGCCAAGGGACGGGACTCGGCCGCGGTGACCGAGGCAGAGTCCCGGGAGGCCGGCGTCGCTGGCGGGATCTGGCCCGGTGGCGCCGGGGCGTGAGCGCGACGCCCGCTCGCCGGAGATTGGAGGTGCAGGCTACTGAGGGAGGTGGCTGTCGACGCGCCGCCCGGTGCCGGCCGGGGTGTGGGGCCTCCCGGACGGGTCGACCAGCAGACGCCGGTGCCCCTCCGTCCCCGGGAGGGGGTGGGAAGCCGCCGCGGGGGAACGGGCGAGGGAACTCGTCCCGTGCCCGGCCGTCGTCCTGAGGGCGGCCCGGTGGTCGGGCCTTCCGCGTCGCCGATCCCCTTTCCGCGCCCCGCTCCGGAGGTGGGGGACCGGCCGGGGCCTTGCGGGGGAGGCCCGTGGAGGGCGCGACGGGCTCGGCCGCCGGGCTGGCCTTTTCCCCACTGGTCTTCCAAGTCGACCGGCTCTGGCGGTGGGGACCGGGCCCGGTCCTCGGATGCCTCCTCCTCCGTGGCAGTTTTTTGTCCAAGTCCCGCCCTGGAGAAGAGCGTGGACCGGCCCCGGGAGCCCTCGAGGGCGGGCCGGGGAGGGCGTCCCCGGCCGGGACGCGTGCCCGGAGGTGGGTCCGGGCCGTCGGACCGGACTTCTCTCTCCGAGTTTCGCGGGTCGCGTCTTTGTCCGGAGGTGGGAGGGGGCCGGCTCGAGGCGTAGGTGGAGCCCCGGCTGAGGGACGGGCGCCACGGTCCCGCCCCGGGCCCGGTCGCTGGAGGCTCCTCCGTGGAATTCTTTTCTAAGTCCTGACCCGGCGACTCAGAGGGAGGGACCGACCGGTCCCGGCCCGCGCGGGCGGCCCGGGGAGGCTGTCCCCGGCTCCCCCTGCCGCCACGCTTCTGGGGTCGACCAGATGGCCCCGGGAGCTCCCGGCCTGGTGGCGATGGGGTCGTGCTTGGGGTCTGGTGGCCGTGGCCGTGATCCAGGGGTTCCTCTCGTGATCCGTGAGTGGGCCCCGTCTCCCGGCGCGGCGATTCTTGCCCCTGAATGAGTGGTTTTGTGCCCGCCAGATAAAGTGCTGACACGCTCTGCTCGAGTGACAGTCGCCCGAGAGCTTCCGGGTGCCTGGATGCGTGTGCGAGGAGGTCTCCGGGCTCAAGACCGAGAATCGGACGCCCGTTTCCACCCCCGCCACTTGAGCCGCCCGCTGGAGCCTGCGCGCCGGCTCTTGTGCGTTCCAGGCGTCCCCGCGACCGTGGTGCCACCTCCGGTCTCTGGTACCCGAGGGCAGCGGAGATAAGAGCGCGAGGTCCTCTACCACGTGCACTCCCTGCCGCCGGCACCCGGGTGCGATCGCGACTTACCCCGTCCCGCCGGCTCCGTGCCAGTGAGAGTCAGGCGTTCTCGTCCTGGGGTCGTCGCCCGCGCTTGCTAGAGGAGGAGGGGGGCCGGTGAGGCTGAAGCAGGCTCCTCCGCTGGCTGTCCTCGCCGGCCTTCCCTTGCTCGGGGATCCCTCGCGTTATGCTGCTGATCGATGTGGTGATGCTGTGCTCTCCCGGGCCGGGCCTAAGCCGTGCCAGACGAGGGACGGACGTTCATGGCGAACGGGACCGCTCTTCTCGCTCTGCCCGCGGGCCCCCTCGCCCGTTCTCCCCCGCTGCGAGTGGCGTGTGGGAGGTGGCAGGGGTGCGGAATCCGGCCCGACCTCGCTCCCCCGCCCCGTGCCTTGTGGCGTGGGACGGTGTCGGGGTCTCCGTGACGCGGCGGATGCTCCGCCTGTGC